GTTTCTCCTAAAAGCCCTGTCTAGCCTTAAACTCGACATCGGTGGGATTTTCTTCCTTCTGACCAGTAAGAAACATGTTTTGTCTCTGAGTTTGCATGACAACTGCCAAAAGAAGGCCTGGAAAACAAGTGTCTGAACAGGCCTAAACTGAGGGCGTTGGCCTTGGCCTTAATGCCTGCGGGCCAAGCCTGCTCAGAGGTGCCTTAATATGGGAAAACAGTTCCACCACTTAGCTGGGCCAAATCCAGTGGAGCCCTCAGATACTGCTTGTTAGCAGAGAAAATTAGCTCCTTCTGGTTAATAAATAATATCCAACCTAGAACGACTCCTAACTGACCCCATCATGGGGTCCTTTTCTTGTCAAAAGCATCTTTGTCCCACTGACCACAACCTACGATCAACGGTTTCTCTCAAGCCTTCTCTTGCGGCTTTCGCCCCGGTCACCTGGCCCTTCTGGGGTCATCGTTCCCTGCCGGCCTCAACTCGGCCTGCCCGGCGCTGCAACCCAAGCCTCGTGCTGCGGAACCTGCAAAAACCGGCCTCCACAAGTCCCCTGAGGAAGCGCGGCCTCCACGATAGGAAAGGTCGGGGATGCCCAGGGGCAGAGAGGAGAGATCCCGGGGAGCAAACCACTACCTTTTCCCGACAGGCTTCTCCTCTCTACCAGCCAGATCAGCGCAGGCAGCAGGTACACCCAGCGGTGGCCCTAGTAGCGGCTTAAACCTCTCCACCGAATGTTCGGGAAGCCCAGCCGACTGGGCATGCGCAGTGCGCGCGCCTCAGCCCCGAGGAGCCAGGCAGCACTTCACAACCCCTGGCCAACCGCCAGACACGCAGAGCCAGGCTCGGTGCTTTTATTCACTTGCTCCTTTACTCACTCATCTACACCTATGTACTGAGCACTTACTGTGCACTAGGCACTTGCTCAACACTCTGCTCAGACATGCATCCTCATGAGCCTCTCTTGTCTGGTGGGGCAGGGAGATCTTAACGATACGATCACCGATGAAAGAACATTGCCATGGATATCCGCTCAGTGAGAAGAGGCACATAGTGCCTTGAGAGCATATATTGGAGGGGCATGACCAAGCCTGAGGATCTGGGAAATCTTCTCAGGAAATGATGCTTATGCAGAAGTTTTACGAAGGTCAGATTACAGGGCAACAGGGTAAGAGTGTGGAGCAAGCACAGCATTCCTGGCAGGGAAATGGCATGAGCAAGAACTGTGTGATGGGAAGGAGCATTGTTCCTTTGTGGAACTAAGAGAAGATAGGGTGATAGGGGGCAGAGAGTTATTCAAGAAGAGGCTGGAAAAGGGGGCAGAGGCCTACAGTGCTTGGCCTTAGTCTTTATGCTAAGAAGTTTCTATCTTCCTTTCTTTGCTACAAAGAATAGCCACTAGCTCTATGGTGCTTTGCAGTTGACAGTGCATTGCTGCAATATAGTAATCTTAACAACATCCTGTGAGGTCCGTAATAGTTTTCTCAGATGAGGGAACTGAGGATTACAGAAGTATTTTGCACACAGTCAGTCCTTAAGTAGCAAAGCTATGACCCGAGCCCATCCCCACCATGTGCATAGTCACAGTCTTTGCCACAGTTAAGGAAAGCCAAATGAATAAATTGCATCAAAGGTCACCACAAGTTTTCTTCAAAAAGAATTTCATAATTTTTTATTTAGGCATTAATAATCTATATAGAAACCAGTCCAAAAATGTGCACTATGTGGCAGAAACAGGTCCCTGGGTGGTGTAAATGGTTTGCACTCAACTACTAACAGTGGTTAAGAGCTTGGCTGCTAACCAAAAGGTCAGCAGTTCAAATCCACCAGCCACTCCTTGGAAACCGTACGGGGCAGTTCTACTCTGTTCTGTAGGGTCGCTATGAGGAGGAATCGACTTGATGGCAACAGGTTTGGTTTTGGTTTACTAACCTAAAGGTTAGTGGTTTGAACCCACCCAGAGGTGCCACAGAAGAAAGGCCTGGCAATCTGCTTCTGTAAAGATTACAGCCAACAAAACCCTAAGGGGCAGTTCTACTCTGTAACACATGAGGTCTGTATGAGTCAGAATTGACTCAATGGCAACATTTTTTTTTCAGGTGGCAGAAACTGCTAATATATAAACATGATTCCCAAGCACATATTCTCAATGGGTGAAGATATTACCCTCAAGGGGACAAAAATAGTTTCTTAGGGGGGGCTAAAAAAAGTTAGATATTACAATGCTAGTGATCCACCAAAGTTCAACCCTACCCAACAACATCTTATTTCTTAGTACTCAATTACTTTCATTAGGGAGAGATTTAATTTAATTGATAATTAAATTTTTCTCCAGAGGGAGCAATAATGAAAATATTGTAGAGAAACATTGTCCTACAGTAATGGAACCTCCAATTTTCAACTGGTCAACCAGAATGAAGACCACATTTCTTTTTTTTTTTTTTTTAATTGTGCTTTAGGTGAAAGTTTACAGCTCACATTAGTTTCTCATACACAAATTTATACACACATTGTTATGTGACCCTAGTTACTATCCCTATAATGTGACCGCACGTTCCTCCTTTCCACCCCAGATTTCCCATGGCCATTCGACCAACTATCCCTTTCTGCCTTCTCATCTGGCCTCCAGACAGCAGCTGCCCATTTAGTCTCATATATCTACTTGAACTAAGAAGCGCATGCTTCAAGAGTATCATTTTTTCTTATAGTCCAGTCTATTCTTTGTCCTAAGAGTTGGCTTTGGGAATGGTTTTAGTTCTGAGTTAACAGAGAGTCCAGGGGCCATGTCTTCTGGGGTTCCTCCAGTCTCAGTCAGACATTAAGTCTGGTCTTTTTACTAAAATTTGAGTTCTGCACCCCACTTTTCTCCTGCTCCATCAGAGGCTCTCTGTTGTGTTCCCTGTATAATTTCCCTTGCAGCTAGATGTGACCATGTGAAGAACTTCTGGTCAATGGGAGATGATGGAATGTGATGGGTTCAATCATCCTGTGCTTGGAGTATGGACATGATGGCAAGCCACCTTGACTATATGGATGAAGGCAGCAATCTAGAGATGGTAGGGAAAGAAAAAAAAAAAAAGCTAGAAAGAGCCTGGGAAACCTCATGGAACAGAGCCACCATACAAGTCCTGGTCCATCTGCCTCTATCAGGGAGAAATGTGCTACTATCTTATTTATCCACCAGTAATTTGCAAAGAATAGGAATTCCAGAACACTTAATTATGCTCATGAGGAAACTGTACTTAGACCAAGAGACAGTCATTTGAACAGAGCAAGGGGATACTGTGTGATTTAAAACCAGGAAAGGTGTACATTAGTGTTGTATCCTTTCTCTATACTTATTCAGTCTGTATGCTGAGCAAATAATCCGAGAAGCTGGACTATAAGAAGAAGAATGGGGCATCAGGATTGGAGGAAGACTCATTTACAACCTGTGATATGCAGATGATGCAATCTTGCTTGCTGAAAGTGAAGACGACTTGAAGCACTTACTGATGAAGATCAAAGACCACAGCCTTCAGTATGGATTACACCTCAACATAAAGAAAACAGAAATCCTCACAACCAGACCAATAAGCAACATCACGATAAACAGAGAAAATATTGAAGTTGTCAAGGATTTCATTTTACTTGGATCCACAATCAACGCTTATGGAAGCAGCAGTCAAAAAATCAAAGATGCATTGCATTGGGCAAATCGGCTGCAAGAGCCCTCATTACAGCGTTAAAAAGCAAAGATGTCACTTTGCCGACTAAGGTGTGCCTGATCCAAGCCATGGTATTTTCATTCACATCATATGCAACTGAAAGTTGGACAATGAATAAGAAAGATTGAAGAAGAATTTATGCCTTTGAATTATGGTGTTGGCAAAGAATACTGAATATGCCATGTACTGCCAGAAGAACGAACAAATCTGTCTTGGAAGAACAACAGCCAGGATACTTCCTTAAAGGCAAGGATAGTGAGACTTTGTCTCCTGTGCTTTTGGCATGCTAGCAAGAGCAGGGGCAGATTAACCAGTAAACAAGGTATGCACGAGTTTAATTGTGTTTACTTACTAATCTGTAGTGCACAACTTCATACACCACATCAAAGATGCGGTGCACTACAAATTATGCGCTACAGATTAGTGAGTAAACATAAGTAAGCCTGTGCATAGCTTGCTTATTGGATAATCCGTCCCTGCGTAGGAGGGACCAGTCTCTGGAGAAGGACATTATGTTTAGTAAAATAGAGGGTCAATGAAAAAGAGGAAAACCCTCAACAAAGTGGATTGACACAGTAGCTACAACAATGGGCTCAAACATAGCAACAGTTGTGAGGATGGCGCAGGACCAGGCAGTGTTTCGTTGTTTTGTATGGTTGCTATGAGTTGGAACTGACTCAACAGCACTTAACAACAACAACACAACTTGAGTCTCTGTTACATGCAACTGTACCCTTATTCTAACTAAAATAACTAAACAATAAACTGTAGCAGCAATTACATTAAAAAAAAAAACAAAACAAAACAAAATGAGCTTACCACTAGTAAGTAGAAAATCACCTAGTCCCTGAGGAAATTAAGATGCTTTAAGTTGTTGGGTGGGCAATATAAGAAAAGAAAAATGTAGTCACGTATTATACAGAAGGATATGTTACAAATATTAAGAGGATTTGAAAACTATATTACTTATTTGGACCTTAATATTTCCTATTTGATAACCATATTTCCAACCCTTGTGTTCATTATATAACTTATTCTTCACCTAGGTGAGCCTCTGTAAGTGTACTAAAGGCTGCTAGTGATGTTGGTTTCACATCCCTTACCATCCCTTACTATAAACCACCCATTTATGTGAAATGGAAATAAGCATGCAGAAATTCCCTTGGATCTGAAAGTAGGATTTCTCCCAACACAATCAAGTTAGTGGTCAGTTTAGCTACATCAGCTAAGAATATCAGCAAATCAGAGTGGAGGAGGGAAATGGATTTCCTAAATAAATATAATTCCCAAAACCACGTTCTCTAAAGAATCTCTGAAGCTTGAAGTTCAATACAGGAGTGACTCAGTAAACCTCCATCCCACCACTATGAAGAAAAGCGGTGTTCCTGTTCTCTTGGGCATCATCTTCCTGGTTCTGACTGGAGTTCAAGGTAAGGGGTTCTGAGTCGTATTAGGTAAGTAAGGTCAAGGATGTGAATTGTCATATCTTAAGCTTCTTGGTTCACTGGAAAAAGGTGAATGTTCTGTATGCGTTGGAAAGTGATGTGGGTCCCTCACAAAAGCTTCTCTTGGTGATGTGGTCGATTATCTAAAGTTCATAACTTGAACCTGCCAAATCAAACACAAGCCTTCTCAGTCCAGGTATGTAAATTCCTGGCATTTAGAAAGTGTTCAATAAATGTTTGTTGAACTAGATGATAATGAGATGAAAGACTCTGTCTCCTAAATTTATTTTATCGCCCTGATGTTCCTTCTTGATAGATATGTCTGTGTTAACTGATCAAGATCCAATAATCAGGAGGTTGTCCCTAATCCACTTACTAACAGATTGGTTACCTTGAGAAAATTACTTAATCCTTCTAGGACTCAGTTTTCTCATCTTTAAAATGGAGATTTTGTAATTATACCTTTTCTACCTACCCTATAAATTGTGGCATATAGTAAGCAGGAGTAAATACATGTTGAATGAATGAAGGAATGAAGATAACGTATTTTCAAAGATTTTCCAAAGTTTAAAGCACTATACAAAAGCAAGGCAGTAGAACATGGGAAGGAAGAGGAGAGTACCTCGTTCCTGATTTCTACCAGAAAAATTCCTTGCTTTTTAAGAGAAGACAAGGAAGACAAGACTAGATTTGTGGAGGGGCCCAACATCTGAATTTTAAGTGTATATACAGGTAAGCACTCTAAATTTAATATTTACACCTAATTTAACATCGCATCCAATGTGGCCCATGCACATTGGAAGTAATGGGTTAGTATAACTAGAGATTTCTGTTCAAACAAACACCACTCTTTTCCACTGAATTCAGGTAATAAATGAATACTCAGGGCTTTGGGAGTTGCTTAAGACAGCACGGCCTACATAGCACACATGAATTTGCACATTAGGTGTCTGTGTGTCTGACCTGTCATAGGCATTTATTAAATATTGTGGAAGTCTATTTTCCTACTAAGGTTTGAAATATGGTAGTTAAGAGCAAGGCCTTTGGACTCAGACTAGAGCTGAAAGCCTGACTCTGCCCTCTCAAAGCTATATGATTTTGCTCTTTACTTAACCTTTCTGAACCTTAGCTTCCTTAACTAAAAAATGGAGATAACACTTACTTTGAAAACTTGTGGAGATGATTTACAGACACCCATTAAATGATAGCTATAATCATTATTAAGTTGAATGCATCATTTTGATGGATCTTCTAAATTGAGACTTTGCCCTAAGCCCTTTCCTTTTTCCTTCAAAAATCCGTTGCTCGATCCAGCTCATGGGGACCCATGTGTTACACAGTAGAGCATTCCATAGGATTTTCTTGGCTGCAGTCTTTACAGAAGCAGATCTTCAGGCCTCCTGCGGTGCTGCTGGGCAGGTTCAAACTGCCAACCTTTTGGTTATTAGCCATCCATCTCTTTTCCTTAGGAATCCCGATAATGAAGAACAGACGCTGCTTATGCATTGAAATTAACCAAGAGAAGATCCAATCACAGTCCTTAATAGACCTTCAACAATTTGCCCCAAGCCCTTCCTGTGAGAAAACTGAAATCATGTAAGTAAAAACCCATCCAGCATGCATGGGCCACGTTGGAAGGGATGTTAAATTTAGTGTGAATATTAAATTTACAGTGCTTGCCCATATACACACTTAAAATTCAGATGCTGAGCCTCTCCACAAATCTTGTCTGTGCCTTCCTTTTCTTCTCTTAAAAAATAAGGAATTTTTTTGGTAGAAATCAGGAACCAAGGACGATATATTACCAAAGTAGCAGTATATTACCAAAGTAATACATGTTGATTGTAGAAAATATTTAGTGCAGATAAACCAAAAGAAGAAGATAAAAATCACTTAGAATCCTACATCCTGTGGGAAATACTGTTAACCCTTTGGTATATAATCTTCCAAATCTCCCTTGTTTGGGATACATATATATATAATCGTATGCTATATACTATTTTGTAATCTGCTTTTTCACTAACACTATGTTATGAATATTTTCTTATATCATTGAATTTTCTCTAATAATACCATTTTTTTCTTAATAATATCTCAGTGGCCAGTTTACATTCCATTGTATGGCTGTACATAATTTCTATGACCAAATCTATTATTGTCGGAAATGTAGGCTATTTCTAATTTTTTGCTATTGAAATCAAACTTATTGTAGCAATATTCTACCTTTAATGCTTTCCTATTAATATCTTTCTAGAAATAGAATTGCTAGGTTAAAGGATATGCATATTTTAAGTCTTTTGACACCTAAATCAAAGATGACATATAGATTGGCTGCTCTTATTCTCAGATTGTATAGAGTTTTTTTTGGTGTGTTTTCTTTAATCTTTAAATTAGTCCTGGAAGGTCTGCTGTAAGTAATTTTTAAAATTCAGCTAGTATCTTCATCTTGTCTTAGGAAAACATTTGATTATATTTTAAGTGCTTTCATTGGAAAATCATGCTGATCTTCATTATTTCTGTAAAAACATAGACATATTGATAACTTTTCTATTTTTCTTATTCATTTGAACATAAATAACTATTCTCAGCAGAATAGAACCAATATTACCCTGTATATATAAGTCTCTCCCTATCTATATACCTGTTGGATTTTTTAAATTTAGGGTTGTGTATTATCCTAGCAATTCACCTAAGCCCCCTCACTTACTTAGAAAATGAGAAAGCAGGAAGTGTCACTTATAGTGTTAATATAAATACTCTCTAACTGGGAGCTGAATTGTAGCGGAGATATGAAGCATTTAAATTATTAACAGAAAAAAAAGTCACATTGCTATTTCCTTGGCAGTGCTACATTGAAGAATGGGGATCAAACGTGCCTAAACCCAGATTTACCAGATGTGAAAAAATTGATGAAAGACTGGGAGAAACAGGTTGGTGAAAAAGAGGAACAAAAATTTCTTCTAGAAATTGACTTTGGAAGAAAAAGCATTTGTACAGCTCCTTTAAGGATACATTTTTCATTTATATTATTGTGCTCTTATTTTCTTTCCTGGAAAGATGCCATCATCTTGTAGTATAATTGTATGCTTGCATATATTATCACTTGTCTATCTTCCCCACTAGAATGTGTGTTCCATGAGGGCAGGGAGCTTGTCTTCTTATTCAGTAAAATAAATACATATTGAATTGATTGGTAGACCCTGACGATACAAAGGTTATAAGATCTGGTCCCTTCTCTCTGTAGCAAATATGCCAACAATTAATTATGGTACAATGGGAGAAATATAAAATAAAGGTATGTACAAGAATCTTGAAGATAACAGAGGAAGAAGTAATTTGCCTGGGAGGCAGGGAGAAAGTGTTAAGGAAGGCTTCTCAGATCAGGTGACATTTGATTTGGGTCGTGAGGGATAAATAGTTCACCAGGAGGGTAATGACGGCATGAACAAAAGAGTAGATTCATGAAAGAGCTTGCTGTGTTCAGGGAGACTCAAGTAATTTGTCTGGAGTTTGTGTGGAGGTAGTAAAGGGATTGAAGGGATGTACTAGTTTCCTTGGGCCGCTGTAACAAAATACCACAAAGTGGATGACTTTAAAGAACAGAAATTTACTGTCTCACAGTTCTGGAGGCTAGAAGTCCAAATTCAGGACTTAGCAGGGCCATGCTTTCTCTTTCTGCGCTAGGGGAAGATCCACCTCGTCTCTTTGAGCTCTGGTAGCCCCAGGCATTTCCTGGCTTGTAGATGCATCTTCATATCGCTGTCTTCTCCCTGTGTCTCTTATTTTATAAGGACACCAGTCATAAAAGATTAGGACTCGCTACTCCTTATGACCTCATGTTAACTGATAACATCTTCAAGACCCTATTTCCAAACAAAGTTACGTTCACAGGTACCAGGGATTAGGACTTCTATATACCTTTTCAAGGGGCACAATTCAATCCATAACAAAGTAGAAAAGTAGGCCAGGATCAGAGTGGAAAGAATCCTGTATGACATGCTAAGGAGTTGTCACAAAGAGGGTCATGGAGTATGTTATTAGGAGTTTGGGTTCTGGAATCTGGCAGGCTAGTGTTTCTGCCACATACTAGATGTACAACTTTGGGAAAGTTACTCTGTCTAAGCCTCAGTCTCCCCAGAGATAAAAAGTAGATGATAAAAGTACCAGTTTCAGAGGGTTGTAGTTGGAGCAAGGGAGTGGTAAGCAAGGTTGAGGTGAGGGTAATGATAAGGAGAATAGATACAAGACCAGGGAAGCTGCTGCCTCCTCCTCAAAGTGAACAAAATAGAATCAAAAGGACCCTTTTGGAGAGTGAAGCAACTTTAAACCAGTTTTGAGGATAAAGAAAGACCAGTCAGAAGAGTTCAAATATAATAAAAAGAAGGAAAAATGTTAAGATAAAGAAAACAGTACCCTTTTTTTTTTTCCTGTCCTCGCAGGTCAGCCAAAAGAAAAAGCAAAAGAAAGGGAGAAAACATCAAAAAATCAAGAAAGATGAAAAAGTTAGAAAATCTGAACGTCCTCATCAAAAGAAGACTACATAAGAGGACACTTTATCAATAAGTATTTTGTATTAAAATTTATTTCAAAAAATTGTAATGAAAGAATTCCAAGAGGGGAAGTCATCTAATGCATAAGCTTGTTAATTGGACTAGAAAATTTATACCATTATTGTGAAATTGTAACAAAGGTAGAAAGTTGATTTTAAAATCCAAATGTTAGGAATTGTTAGAGGCTATCATTTGTTTTTGTTCTTTTGCCCCCAACCAACTGAATTTTATCATACTTATGCCCACACTTTTAGTAACAGCCACACATGGACGAATGCCCACATAATCACATCCCATACACAACAGCTGCCTGGGAGAGCAGCCTAGGCTTCCTGGGCCTCAAACTGCAGCCTCCGGAGAGTATCCTGAGGCATACGTCAGCAAGCCGCAGGCCTGTCAGCATGCCAGTGAGCTACGCAGTCTGGGATTGAGCTGGACCTCACCAAGCTGCCATAGCCATCAGCAGCTGTGTTTAAAACAGCCTACAAGCTTCACACACAACGTGTCTGAGACAGCTGTTGTTTCTGAGGACCACCACTGGAGATCACCGGCACTTCTCCTTCAGAACCTTTTATCTGGCTTCTGAGGCCCTCCATAATGTGACTCCATCTTGTCTATCCAGGCTGACCACTTTATTTCTTACTGTTCCCCTTTGCTTCAGTCAAGCCGGTTCCTCACCATCTTACCACAGTTCAATACCTGCCTCCTCTCCACCACATATGCCATGCTGTCTCATTCACCTGGGTCTACTCCTTTCTTTCTCGCCCTTTCCCCAACACCTCCATAGGAATGCCTTCTTCTCCCCACTCATCCTCACTTGATCCAGTCTTCAAGGCTCAGTTCAATTCCTGCCTCTTAAATAAAACCTTTCTGGACACTTGAATTATCTTAAAATTCCTATTTTACTTGTGTTCAGTACCACTTGGTGAGCACTTAATTGTTAACTAGTTAATTTTGGGATGTTCATTCTACCTCTCCAATCATATTGTCAGCTCCTTGAGGTCAGAGGCCACACTGTATATTGCCCTGCATCTACACAGTGTCAAATATACTGTGAAACTAGGTTTTGAATAATTTCTTAATTGCAGTTGTTCCAAGTAGGAGGGCAACCAGATCATCTCTTCAGAACAGGGGCTGGTTATTTACTGGCTACTTCATACTCTCTAACCCCTGGTAACCCCTTTTACTCATATATTGAGGCCAATGTCACTGCAGGGACCAGGGGAGATGCAACATTCTCAACTTATTATGACAGGATATTTGCTTGGCCTCTCCAACAAATAAGAAAAACAAGTTTAAAATACATGTGGGAAAAAAAAAAAATACATGTGCATATTCTGGGCTATTTTTGTAAAATATTGAGGACACCTAAAATCATGGCATCTTACAATGGGAAGGGTCTTTAGAGATCATCCAGCATTTGACCTTTCCCTACCCAATACGAAAATTCCTTCAATACCATTCTTGACAAGTCTTAGTTCTGTGTGATCTGACAAGCACCAAGATCCTTTTGAAAACTTGTTTTAGGCAAATGTGAATTTCATTGTCAATTTAACTTGTTTCAAGGTTTGTAAACGATTGTGATTATTAATCACCACACCAGCTCCCCTGAAGCAAGGGGGCAGTAAGATACCAAGATCTGGAAGTATGGTAGATGCCCAGTGAGCCCCTGCAGAGCTTGGAAACCCCCTTAAAGAAGGCATTCAATGAATTGTTTGAGAAGAGGGTGTTACTGGCCAGAATTTAAACCTCTATCTGCTTTCCAAAATTTTATCACTCTTCACTCAAGCTGCAGATGATTTTGAGTGCTTCCCAGTGATGATCCCATCCAAGCCCCTTATCTAATTATGCAGCTCTAGCTAATTCCATGTAACTCCCCTGAAAAATCTAAATGTTATGTAATTTGAGAATCTGTGGCCCAATTACTATGCAACTCACAGGTGAAGTGGGCAGCATAAAACTAATAACCAGAGATCACGTTTTACTAAACAGCTATGATACACACACACACATATATATACATTATAACAAGGAGCCCTGGTGGTGCAGTGGTTAAGCATTCAGCTGCTAACCAAAAGGTCAGTGGTTCAAACCTACCAGCCACTCCGAGGGAGGAAGATGTGGCAGTCTGCTTCTGCAAAGCTTACAGCTTGGAAATGCTATGGGGCAGTTCTACTCTGTCCTACAGGGTCGCTATGAATCAGAATCAACTCAATGGCACACAACAACAACAACATACATTATAATCACTTATCATTTACATATACATGAATATTTTCTAAGCAAACAATTATTAAGGTTAAAGCAGTATTGGACATATATACATTGTACTTTGAAATATTTTCTTTGTTAAAAAAACAATGATATCAATAAATAGACAATTGCTCAGAAAACAAATCTTGATTTTTTTATGCCCTTAACATTCCCCTTAACTGTTGCATGTTTAACAGTAATTTTCACCGTGTCCTTATTCATCTACTTTTTAGCTCTCTCCTCAAATAAGATGTAATATTAATTGAAATAAAGACATGGAAGCCCTCTAAAGAGCTGTTTGGGGAAAGAAAGACCTTTCTATGAAAAATATTACAACACTGCTTTATAACAACATTGACTTATAAGAGTAGTGTGTAATGCACTTTCTTTTCTAATCCTCAAGAGTCATGCTATTCAAATGAGATATATAGCCAGGAAAACAAAAAATGCCCTCTTTTCCATCTCCTAAAATGATGTGTTTAAATATTGTAAAAGCCTCAAGTAGTTACAATGGAGACCTAAACCTAAGTTATTTAAGAGTCCAGGAAATTCGGGCTGGAGATTCTATGCCGTGTAGAGTCTCTGAGAGGTTGAACGTGGACAGAGAATATCAGCCTTCTACACTTAACGTTGGCCCAGGCAGCTGTGATGTTTGGGCAGGTAACAGCCACTGAGGATGGACATCAAGACCCACAAATTCCTTAACCCGAGAGGCAGGAGGGTACTGTGGAAAGAGCTAAGATTCTGGATTCTGAAATTTCTGTGTTAGGATCACAGGCCCACCCCTTATGAGCTGCGTGACCTCGGTTTGAGTACGTTAGTTAACCTCCCTGTGCATCAGTTTTCTCATTCAGGATTGAGGAACAGTCCCAGCATAGACCTCGGAACATAGAAAGTACTCAGTGATGGTCCCAACCCTCCCCAACCACTTACCTCTGCTGCATCTTCATCACAACAGAGGGTATTCCCCATCTCATACACACAGAAATGTTTCCAGAACTGAAAAAATACTCTGGAGAAACAAGATCAAAAGCCTCCCTGACCAGTTCTCGGTATCTCCATTTTTATAATCCTAGTCCAGGCCACCATCATCCCTTTTTTATACTACTTCAGTAGCCTCCTGTTTTCCCTGCTGTTGATTTTTCTCAACTTTTCCCTTGCTTTCTACCATCCACTCTCTACATGACAACCAGAATGTTTTTTTTAAAGCATAACTCACAGAATACTACTTCCTTGCTTAAAATCCTACAATTAGAATTAACTCAAAATTTATGATGGTCTACTAGGGCTTACTTGAACTAGACTCTGCCTACCCCTCTAACTGTATCTCTCTTCACCTTCTCCCTTATTTGTTAAGCTTCAGCTTTGCCTTCTTTCTGTCTTTTTGCACACCAAGCTCATTTCCTTCTTAGGATGTTTGCATATGCTATTCCCTATTGTACTGGGTTGTGTTATATCAATTAGTTTAAACTGAGAACTATTTGCCCATGCTCCCCTTCCCTATGTGGTTTTGGATTAGAGTTAGCCAAAAGAGGAACTTGTGTGAGATTTGGAAAACAGAAAGGAAGCAGGGGTCATTACTCTCGAGTAGATAATGACAGACAGTGGCAGTGGTACCCAGTGGACTCCAGCTTATCCAGCTTCTTCCTCTGTATTCAGTTCATCTTCCCAGCTGCTGCCTCCTGACCAACAGTGGTCCCAGTTCCTCCACCAGATACTTGGCTATGGACCCACAGATGAGGTAGTTACACAGAGGCAACAGCTTCCCATTATGCTTGGTAAAATAGAGGGTCAGTGAAAAAAAAGAGACTCTCTATGAGATGGATTGACAGTGGCTGTAGCAATGGCATCAAACATACCCACTGTTGTGCAAATGGCACAGGACTGAGCAATGTTTCGTTCTGTTATACATGGAGTTGCTGTAAGTCAGAACTGACTCCACAACACCTAACAACAGCTTCCCATAGGTTCCTGCTGTTGTTGTTTTTAGATGTTCTCGAGTTGATTTTGACTCATCGCGGCCCCATGTGATAGAGTACAACTGCCTCACAGGGTTTTCTAGGCTGTAATCATTATGGAAGCAGATCATCAGGTCTTTCTTTTGTGGAGCCGCTCGGTAAGTTTGAACTGCCGACCTTTCAGTTAGCAGCCAAGCGCTTAACTGTCGCGCCTCCAGGCCTCCTCCCCATAGACCTCTTCCTAAAACTCATTGCCGTGGAGTCAATTCCAACTCATAGTGACCCTATAGTGGAACCTGTAGTAGAACTGCCCCATAGTGTTCCCAAGGCTGTAAATCTTTACAGAAGCGGACTGCCACCCTTTCTCCCTAGGAGTGGCTGGTGGATTCCAACTGCTGACCTTTCAGTTTGCAGCTGAGTGCTTAACCACTGCGCCACCAAGTCTCCTATAGACCCCTTAGCAGTCCCTGTTTGGCATATGGATAGGCTTGGCTTCTTGGATTTTCTCACAAGTTCTGATTGTTGGATTTCCCAGCTGCACCAGTGCTTCTGGTGGACTGGTCAGTGATTCTTTCTCAGCTCCTCTGACTTTCCTTTCTGGAATTTCACTTCCGCAGATCCTCCCTTGTTGCATAAGATTGATTCCTATAATGAATCTTTTATTCCAGTAATATTCACAGTGGCTTTGCTTCCCTGACTGATACACCTACACCTAAAGCACTCTTCTTTGCATGGCTGTTCCCTCCTCATCATTTGAGTTTCAGATTAAATGTCACCTCGTAG